ACCATGTTCAAACCCAAGCCGTTAACCATATTACAAGTGTTTGGAAAGCTTACAGAAATCGCTAACATGTCCGGCAATTCAGTGAGTTCTCACTTTCTTTGATTTTCTATTTGCCGTTTCTTCATAACCTTTTGACAGATATCGTGACTCACTGGTGGTTACTTATGAGATCGCCTTTTTTTCCAACCTAAGCACAAACAAAGAAAATTAAGTTAATCCAGACGCTGCTTGTTGCCTGTTGCGAGTGTGAGGCCGAATACCTGATTCGCAGTCTGCAAGGAAAGCTGCGTATTGGGCTTGCTGAGCAATCTGTCCTGGCTGCCCTCGGTCAGACTGCTGCCACAAGTCCTTTCCATTCAATCAGGTCAGTACTCTCCTCGGCTGTGGGTGCACTTCCACCAGATCTCCTGGACGCCAGCAAAAGCTGCTCTCCAGACGCTTGGAAGGCTCGTTTAGACACGGTCGTGGAGAGAGTAAAGCAGGCCTATTGTCAATGTCCCAACTACGAGCGTGTTGTAGAAAGCCTACTTGAGGACGGCCCAGACACTGTGCACCTGCGATGCTGCATCACTCTCGGTATTCCGCTCAAACCGATGCTGGCCCATCCCACTCACGGCTTCCATGAGGTGCTAAAGCGCTTTGATCAGTCAACCTTCACTTGTGAATAGGATAACGATGGAGAACGTGCTCAGGTAGGCCTCTTTTTGGCTTTTGCTGACGTCCCTATATATTGTTCGTTCCCCTTCTCAGTCCCGGTCTCCTCATCTAAGGTTTCATCCAAAAAAACTACCTCGGGGTCAAAAGGGCCCCCTGTGGTTCAGCACACTGACTGAGCCGCCCTGAACATGAGACTTTGCAGACTCTTTTAAGTGTTGGTACCGTTTATTTGCAAGTTGTCCGTCTCCTGGGGTTACATCTACTAAAACTTAAGAAATTAGGGTAGAAGAAGGCACAGAGCCTGTTACGATGGTAAGAGCTTTATACAGTAGTCGCCGGTTATTAAGCCCCTCCCGGGCCTAGACCAAATTGGGCTTAATAAGTGGTGGGTGCACTAACCGGAGAGTCCAAGTTCTTGGTAAGCAAACGCAGGATAGGCACTGTACATTACTTACGTACTGTATTATGTGTAGAGCTTTGTTATGTACAAGAAAAAATGCAGTTTGTCTGTATTTAACGTAATAACAAAAACAAAATCAAAATGATTGGCGACACGTTTAACAAAAGTGGTCGAGTGTCAGTTGTTTTGGAGGAAACTTCACTCGCAAGTATTCTTTGATTTCCTTCTCCAAGCACCAGAAATCGTCGAATTTTGTGAAATCTGATGCCTTTAGACCGCGTTGCAGAGTGCAGCTCTCATCTGTGCAGCAGTCTATCCTCACTCTATCCTGTTGGCAAACTGGGCTTTGTAGCCGGTGGATTTCGCTATGTTAAATTCCGTCCCAAGCTGATTTGGGCTTAATACGCGGCTGGGCC